ACTCATTTTGCCCATTCTCATCATTGACTGACCACATTTCCAGATGTTGCAATATTCAGCTGTTGGCAGGCAGGTTCACCCCACAAGCAAATCACATGTAGTACTGATGTGTTCTGCACTTTGCCAACCGGTGGCAATGAGGACAAGAATTGGCTGAATCCATCAGGTGACTTGATTCTGATTTTGATTCAGCTATCTCGCATGATTGGGAACATGCTGTGCTGGATGCCATATCGCTGCATTTCTGGAAGGGAGATCAACACTGTTGGGATAACGAAATTCACTTGCTATGGGGTTCTAACAAGCTGAGGAGAGCAGCTCTGCACAGAACCGCCATTGACATCTATCAAACAGCAACAGAACACGGTCCCATCAGCCTCAAGGCAATACCAGGCAGAAGCCTGCAGACATGATGTCCAATTGCGATCAGCAAAGCCACCGAAGTTCAATCCTTTGCATCATAGGCGCCCCCATGGCACTAAACAAAGCAAAAGTCGGGATTCATGACAAGACAGAAGGCCAGCAGCAGGCCCTCAACTGTTCTCATGCTCTTTACAGAGCCAGAGCCTTTTTGTCTGCGAATAGCACTTTGTGTGCTGGCTGGTAAAGATTGGCTGGGCAAGAACACTTGTAGCTTTGAAAAGCACTCGAGAAGCACTTGGCAGCAGAAAGGCAATTTTCGGCTGCAAGGAGCAGTCTTTCGAATCACAGTATCTGCACCCATGTTCTCACCATGGCCATGGCCCCTGCCCCGCTGATCCCCCTGCGGGGGGGCAGGGGCAATTGCACTGCATGCCCCGCTTCCCGCCACCCACACGGCACTTCCGTTCCCCAGGAGGAGGTCCTGGCGGAGGACGCCACCACCAACATGCGCTTCCTGCGCATCGACTGCGGCCCCCTCAAGCAGGCCCTGGTGGGCCACTGCGAGGCCTGGACATCCCGATTCACCGGCCTCCTCCATTCCCTGGCCGACACCGAGCTCAACGCCATCCACGACTACTTCCGATCCAGCACCGAGGCCCTGGCTCGCAGCCCCACTAATCTGGATCAATTGGCCGAGGGAGTTAATCTTCAGCGGCGATTGGTCGAGGAGAAGCACAGCGTGACGGCGAGATTCGAGCCGTTGAGGGAGAGGTACCGCGCGCTGGAGCGGTTCGAGGTGAGCGTGCCGGACGACCGGCTGGCGCTGCTGGAGGAGATCGAGCCAGCATGGGCGCGGTTCCAGGGCATGCTGGACGAGGCGTCCGCCACGCTGGAGAAGTCCAAGGAGAACTTCAGGTGCGGGGACCCGGGCTGGGGCGGGAATGAGACCGGAGCAGGGGCGGAATTGGGGACGGCCTGGGGTTTGGGCATCGGGCTGGGGCCCCATTATGCGGCTGGGGAGGATTGTGGCGGATGGCGACATGCGTTTTGGGCCCGGGCCAGGTTTTGGGGTTTGGGACCCCATTTGGGGCTTGGGGGGGAGGGTGGGGGGTGGGGGAGGGTGGGAGGGAGACTGTGGGGGAGGCGGGCTCTGGAGCGTTGCTCGCAGGGGTTTGGACCCTGGGAGGCGTGCGGGCGCTGGGGCGGGGCTGGAGGGGTGCATCCGGAGTTTTGGCGCCAGCAGGGGAGGGGTGTTGCTGGCGCTGAGGGTGCTGACTGGGCTGTCGGGGAAGGGGCGCCCGCATCTGTCCGTGCAGTGGGGTCTTTTGCCGAAAGCCGCAAACTGCTGTTGGGTTTTTAACCCTCCCGCATAGTAACGTAACGCTTGGCCTTTTTTCCAGAGAAAACAGTAAAAAAATAGCGCTCTTTTGAAAAAAAATTTGGGCGGAGTCACGTAAAAATAATAAAAATAACGCTCTGAAAACAAATGCGGAGCGAATGCATATCAGTATAAATATTTTCTGCGGAAGGGTTGAATATGCCACAGTAGCTACTAATTCCTAATTTGTGCGCGACGAAATCAAGAAACGACAAAGCCAGATCGTTGACGAGCTTATGGTTTCAGCCTGGGGGCGAACAACAAGCCGATTTTGTCATGGTCAACATCGAATAGACGCAAGTGGAGAGGAGTCCGTGGCCTTGGCCTGTGGCCAAGGCAATGCACGATTTTCTCCACAGCGTCATGCGTCGTAAAGAATTCCAAACCACTTCGGATATGTCCGAAAAATTCGCCCGAGCTTTCAATTCGGAGCTGACATCCACGCAGGCTTGGGCTTTACGTTTACTTTTTTACTTTTACGTTTTTATGCTTAAAAACGTAAATTGCAAAGGGCTTATTTTTGTGCGCATTTTTACGTTTTTGCAGCTTCCTAGGACACCCAGGCTACACGATGAAAGTTACGTACAATGATCAGTCCTCCGCCATCTCCAGCACCCACAACACAATGTCCACCTCGCCCTTGGCAAGGGCGATGAGGGCGTTTAACCAAAACTCGTTTTCTGTCCCTTCCAGGGCGTCTGGCTGCCACTCTCCAGACTCCCTAGTCTGTATGTGCTGTCCTTATGTACACTGGGCAGTTTTTACGTTGCATTTATGTATTTTTAGGCATTTTTATGCGTAAAAGCGTAAAATCTATATTTATGCGTAAAACCGTAAATACGATCAGTTTTTACGTCGCAAAAACCAAGCGTGCATCCACGTATATAAGGACCCTCACATCATGTGATTTCCATTACCAACTGGTAGGATTTGCAGAGCAGTGGCCAGAGCGTTTGTTTCAGTTGTGCTAGTACCATTTGTTGCCGTGGGTCACCAAGCATATTTGGGATGTATCCTGGGTTTACCCGTTAGCAGTAAGCGTAGGAACATCGCCCTAGTGTCGCCCCTTGCAATGCTATAACACGTGATCATACAAATAATAACGCTACTACCACTCTGGGCACAGATTTCATTGTGTTCTTTCATGCACTTGAACGAGCTGTAATGCCGTTGGCTGGCTACTTGATTTTAAAACTTCAATCAAGTTCGGATTTGATCTCTCTAATGCCTACTCACTATTTAAACTTGGCCCAAACACCAGACAAATGCTGCTATTCAGCACACAAATGGGGGCGTCGCTGTGACACTGCGTAGAGAAACAATACGTTACATGTAGCATGAGGGTATTGAACACATTGTCTAAGCCGCAACGTGGTGCACGATAGGGAGAAAGTGAAGCACATGGTCGACGCTTTTGCGAAAGACGTTTCGACTGCCCGTGAAGAATTTAGCAAAGCCGCGCCATACACGAATGATAACTTCACCATCGACACCGCCTTCCAATTCATCGAGAGCGCCAAAGACGGAGTGAAAGACGCAAGGAAAAAGGTAACAGCCAGGGAACCCCATTTCACAAATCGAACTTCCGATTGTACACACCCGTTGCACTCAGATTTAACTTCAGTACCAATTTCAAATTAAAACACTGTAAAGCACAGCGCCTGGAGGCGAAGCGGAGCAGAGCCTGAACACGGGAGGGTGCAGAAGATGTAGCATAGGCCCTGATATGCTGGGGCTGAGCCCCAGCACATGTGGCACTGCGCATGCAGGCTCTCCACAAGTGGAGAATGCTGTTGCTGCGAGCAAAAGTTGCGGAGCCCAAAGTGCTCGACATTGCCCTGTGTTGCAATAGCCGTGTTTCTCACGAGGCACAAATGCATTCAACAGAGGATTTAGCAACTTACCGTAATCCAGAAACTCCATGGAGGGCTGTGCCGTGTTGTGCTGGTTGTGCAGCATTTCGTGCAGGCTGGCAACTTCAACATTCGGGCAGGGCTCTTTCCCAGCTGTACCGACAGTTTTCGTATTGCTCGTGCAGGCAGCCGACCTCAAGGCCGGCATGGACATCTTCCGCATTCCACAGCCGCCCTACAAAGACCTGGGAGCCACTGAGAAGGACCTCCAGGTGTTGGAAAAGATATGGGGTGTGGCCAAAGAATGGCAGACGTCCTACATCGGATGGAAGGACGGCAAGTTCAAGGACATTCAGGCACGGTCACAGTCGGCGCATTTCGACTTCGAAGTTATATGATTTGGCGTATCACTGTGATGGAAGGCCCGATCTCACGTCCAGTGGAGGGAATTCGTATGCATCTATCAGAGAATGAGTCCAACATTGTGCATCAAAGTACGGTGTTTAGTGAACAGAATCTTAAACTTCTGATCTCTCAAGATATCAAAGTTCCTGACGATGTCTATAGAGCATTGTGGTGCTGAGAATTTCTAAATTATGACGTGGGATGGCCATTATTATACTTCAAATACTTCGTAATAGAACAAAGTGTGAGAAGTAGAACATTGCCAGTACTGTAAAGTTGTTGAAATGGAAGCAAGCTCTGCAACGTTCACTGTGTTTTGGTTGCATTATCTGCTCTTGTGCGCTACTGGCTTTGCCGCAGACCAATAGAACTAGCAGCAGAACTAAATTCTGTTGTATGGTGCATGGTTGTCTCCCGATTATGAGGGGCGCAATACCACACAGTATATCCATACCCTTTCCGGACAAAGTGGCACAAGCAAGTACTGTAAAGTACTGCGCCCTGCACCCCGCTTCCAAAAACGGGCTTCATCCAGTAAAACCAGCGCTAACAAGTACTCTATCGCCCTATCATTAGGTGGAAGCCATGGAGGCGTCGGCCATCGCGATAGGCAAGACCATCGTCAAGCTCGGTCGGGAGATCAAGAGCTGGCCGGTGTGGGCGTGGATGAAGGACACGGTGGAGGCCTTCAAGCGCACCATGCCGCTGATCACCGACCTGAGGAACGAGGCCATGCGCGATCGCCACTGGTCGCAGATCATGGAGACAGTGGGATCGAAGTTTGACCCATTCGCAGATGACTTCACCCTGGACTCCATTGTGAAACTGCAGCTGGACCAGCACGCGGACTTCATTTCCGAGCTGTCCACAAATGCGACGAAGGAGCTGGCCATCGAGCAGTCCATTCAGGTGCGCTTGGTGAATCGCCAACTGTTGCCGAAAACCTTTTGTCTGTTCGTGCGGCTCGCACGGACTGGTTCAGCTGTCCATGTCTTGCGGTTTGGGAAGGCAGTGTGTCGAAATTGGTGCGCTTAGCGCTGATTTGACGCCAAATGGGTGGGGGTGGTGGGTCTGGACCTGTGACGCTAAGAGATCATGTAATGGACACAGTTTCGACATAATGTGGGAAGTTGCGCAAAACGCCATTGATCCAATGCGAACTGCTCGTGACTTGTTCAAAACCACTCTCAAGCATTCAAACTTCAGTAAATACCCCACAATACCCCAATGGACAGCCATCGGAGCTGCCATAGCCACCCGAATTCGCCTGTGCCATCCAGTTTTTCAGCGCATTACAATCGCCGCAATTCTGGCTGTTTACGTTCCTTGAAAACGCCTCGAAATTGTCCATCGCTGTTATGTAAGGTTGTTGAGTCATCCTGGCATCGACATAAGTATTGACGCCAGGGGATGGGTTGGGGTCTGTGGGTGGGGGCTCCTGGGCTTAACGTCAAACTGATGCTAAACGTACCAAAATCGACATAGCGTCTTCCCTTATTGGGCAATAGTGGATTTTTTGTGGTGTATCTTTGGCAATCTGTGCAACCAATTGATCTTGTTATTATTATTGGATAACGTGACCAGCTGATGGAATGGTCACCATTGCTTCGTTCAAAATTATTATGGAAAGGCGTAAGTTTCGATTTCGTTTGCTTGATACATGAAACGACAATGATGTTGTCACCGACCTTCCCTAATTAAATGGAAGCCCTGCTTCAACAGCATTGCTTCTAGTGTAGAGGCGAGTGCGTTCCTCGAATATTCCAGTTGTTGCGTGAATGAGCACACATCAGCTGTTGCCAGGCCATAAGCGAGGTGTGGGCGGAACTTCACCTGGATATGGCGGAGTACAAGCAGACCTGCAAGCTGCGTAGCACAGAGGACGTGTTTGCCTCGCTGGAAGACAACGCCGTTACACTGTCCACCATGAAGGCGTCACGCTTTTTCGTTGTGTTCGAAAAAGACATCACGCATTGGGAGCAGCTGCTTTCCCTGGTGTCCGAGATGATCGAAATCATACTCCAGGTATTGGGCCATCTCTAAGCTCATAGTTGATGAAATTTTAACGACAGGCTTCTGGCCAAGGATTTCGAAACAAAAGTGTCTGTAGTTCAGTTGTGTGAGCCTTCTCACAGTTATTTGCAGTTGAAAGATGTTTAGACGATGTTGGGCCCCGATTGGGCTTTTATCCCGTTCTGCTCAGAGAACATCAGCTGACTGTTTCATGGCGCAACTGGCACCCATCGAAACCATAGACACAACTCAAGGGACACAAGCATCCAGATTCACCAAGCAACAGTTTCAATTGTTCACAATGTTCACAAAGATGATCCATCATGCACAGGTGCAACGCAACTGGATGTACCTGGAGAATATCTTCATCGGCTCCGAGGACATTCAAAAACAGCTGCCCCAGGAGTCCCTGCTCTTCGAGGAAGTCCACCAGACATTCATGGCCTCCATGAAGAAACTGAGGGATGCCAGCCTGGTCACGGCGGCGTGCTCCCTGCCGGGCATCCTGGAGACCTTCAACGACATGGACGCCAAACTGGAGAAGATCCAGAAGTCGCTGGAGAACTACCTTGAGAGCAAGCGGCAGCAGTTCCCGCGCTTCTACTTCCTGTCCAGCGACGACCTGCTGGAGATCCTGGGCCAGGCGAAGGACCCCATGAACGTCCAGTCGCACCTGAAGAAGTGTTTTGAAGGTTCTGAGCTTCACTTGGCGAAATTTTGTTCTGGAAAAGCCGTTGCCGTGGAACGCATTTGTGTACATTTATGGACAGGGCCCACACAATTTATGCCACAAGGAGTAAAGTTACATATACATTTTTCCTAGGGAAGACACTATGCCGATTCAAATTGACGCTAGGGAGTCGGGGGGGGGGCGCTGTGACGCTAAGAGCTTACGTAATTGCAACAAAATCGACATAAGAGGAAAGATATCCAAAAACGCCACGGATCAGCTGGAAACAACTCATGACTTGTTCCTAAAATTGGCCAAAATATTAAACAAGTTACCACTTTCAGCTATTCTACTGATTTTAAAGCTGGTACAAACCTGTCTGGAGGTCCTCAGACCTACCCAGAACTGATTCCGAACATATAGTCCACTGATGCAATCTCCCCCTGCATGTGAACCAGGACACACTGGGCAAATTTGTATCTGTACATCAACAATGCACTTCCCGTTGGGGCAGAATGTGGTCGTTTACTGTAATGTGCAATTTTGCAATACGCTCCTGGGGATATTTTCGCCAGCAATTACCAATCGATTGTGTGGGGACTTCGCTGCGTGAGAAAGAGCGGAAAGTGCAGGTTGATTTTCAGGATGCTGTCAAGCACGAGGTCTTCCCGAGCCGTGCAGGGTTGAGCCACGCAGTGGGCATCAGTGGGGAAAGCACAATTCTGCTGTGATTCCCCACCCATATGTGGCGCCTTCAGTAATGTCTCTTGGTAGAACGTTTGCCGCTGAAAGCTGCCCATGTCCCGTGCGTTGCGCTTCATCTTCTTGCGAAGTAAGTGTTGAATGCGTTCTTGGTATGCAGGCATCAAGAAACTGGAGATGCATTTGCCTGGAACTGACGGACGCATGAATTACGAGAGCACCGGTGTGTTTTCGCCCGACGGAGAGTACCTTCCCTTCGTTGCTCCCATCCTGACCGAGGGTCGGCCGGAGGAGTGGCTGAACAGCGCCGAGGCAGCCATGTTCCAGACGACAAAGAAACATCTCTACAAGGCCCTTGAAGATTCAAAGAGTACGCACAACACCAATGCCACAGTCGCGGAATGCATGTCCTTTAGATCCTGGAAGGTGATCATTTGAGAGTTTCCGTATACTGCACAACATTAAAGCCTTCCGCATAGTAACGTAACACTCGTTTTTTTTTGCTGAGAGAATAATATAAATAGTAACGCAAATCTTGGCCTTTCTGTGCGGGGCAACGCAAAACAAATAGAAACAACGCTCTGAAAAGCAAAATGCAGAGCAAAAACCGTAACGGTGAAAATTTCTGATGCGGAAGGGTTGAGTATTTAACAGAGTTGCGAGTTAAACCCACCGCTGGCATAGCTGTGGATCAACCGGAGAGCCAGGCTTGGTCTTTACGGCGTAAACGCGTTTCTATTTACGGCTATTTACGTGCTAAAATGGTTTTTACGTTTTTACGCGAAAATAGGCGTAAAAATGGCTAAGAATGAACGCTGCGTACTTAAAGACAGTACATACCGACTCAAGGTGGCCGGGCAGGGGAAGCTAGATGAGCTGAAATATCCAGAAAAAGACCTTTTGCTCGACGACGTAGTTCTCCTTGCCGAGGGCGAGGAGGGCGCTGCGTTGCCAGCGCTCTGAGAACTCATCATTGTTTGGGACATCATCATGTAATCTGGGCGTGTCGACGAGCCGTAAGTATGCGTAAATGTTGCCGTAAAAATGGCTGTTTCTCTGTTTACGCTTTTTTGTACATGCTTTCGATAACTGCTGGGTGCTCGCGCTTTTCGTGGCGCACGGCTGCTGCTTCGGAAAACCGAAACTTCTGCTCAGCAGCTGATACTTGGCCTTCCGGATTTCCAGGCATGAAAAAGGAAAAATGGGTGAAGGATACACAAGGTCAGCTGATCATAACAGCTGGCCAAATCCTGTGGACCTCGGAATGCGAAAAGGCCCTTCAGGATGCGGACGCCGCCAAAAAGGCCCTCAGGCAGCTCAAGAAGAAGTGGCTGAGTTATCTGAGCAAGCTCACCACCGTCACGCGCTCCCGCCTGTCCAAGATCGAGCGGAACAAGGTGGTGTCGCTCATTACAATCGAGGTGCATGCGCGTGACGTCATTGAGAAGCTGGGAAAGGTTGGGTGTTCTTCTACGGCCGATTTCGACTGGGTCGGCCAGCTGAGGTTCTATTGGGACAAGGATAAGAACGACTGCATCGTCAAGCAGGTGCTGTCGGTATTCGTGTACGGCTACGAGTACCAGGGCAACAATGGACGGTTGGTGATGACGCCCCTGACGGACAGGTGAATGATCTCTTTGGAATTTCAGTATCTCCACTCTCTTTTTCCTGACCTTCGCCTCTAGCTTCCTGCAAACGTCGGAATCGGCGTTTGTTGGTCAAATTTGCACGGCAAAAAGTATCTCTGCTGCAACGGTTGTTTATGTTGCATTCTCATTGAATGTGATACAACTGGCTGATAAACGGTACTGATTTGCCGCTCCAGTGCATTAGAGCTGTCGGAAATAAATGGACATTATGCGGACATTTATATGGACACTCAATAAGCTTTGAAGCCAAAAAATGATGGAAATTAATCACGCATTTTACGGTTGGGGTTCCTCCTCGTCAACGAATCCTGCACAAATGAGTAGTTGAAGCGCAGGTCGGAATTCTCACTGAAGCTGCGCCTGGCCGTGTCAAGGGCCAGGATCGGGGCGTGGCCTTTGCATTTAAACAGGATTCTGCACAGGCACATTGCTCGCAAAAATGTTTCCATTACATGGGTAAGACTACAACTGCGTCAGAGTGCGCTATGGTAAGGATGAACTTGGCTGGGATGTATTCGGGGCGCCTCGGCGAGCACAAACGTTTGTGGACTTTTCTCAGGTGTTACATGACGCTGGGGGCGGCCCTGTTTACCCGCCGAGGAGGAAACCCGCTTGGGCCTGCGGGAACGGGGAAAACTGAGACAGTCAAGGCAGGCATGCGTGCCTATAATAATTGAATTAATGCTATCCCGACTGCAGTGGGGAGAAGATAGAAGTGTAGGGAGTTGAGAGGCGTGCTTCGTGGAATGGAAGTCACCATGGTGATCTTTACTGGTCATTTGCCAGCCACTGGTGCCGCCAGTGGCACAGTAACGGCTCGTAACCGCCCTCTGTCAAACCCGGCAACAACGAGTCCTCGATCAGAATACTACAGAACTTTGTCTTCTCCATCCGAAAGTCGGCTCCAGGGACTGAATCATTACCTATCCCATTTTCTTTGAAAGCAATGGTCTCTATTAGTCATGCATTATCTGATAATTAAGCATCGCTTCGAGGCAGGATTTTTCATGTTCCCTTTAAAGATTTTAATGAATTGGTTAATTAAATAATTCATTCATTCATCAATGCAGGATTTTGGAAAGGCGCTGGCGCGATATGTCATCGTGTTCAACTGCAGCGATGGCGTTGACTACAAGATGACAGGAAAGATGTTCAGCGGCCTCGCGCAGACCGGGGCGTGGGCCTGCCTTGACGAGTTCAACCGAATCGAAGTGGAGGTCCTGTCCGTGGTTGCAACCCAAATCGCAACTGTCATGCAAGTATGGATCCACTCGAGTCGTGTATTAACACACTGTCATGTTGCAGTATAGCAATATCGCTATACTGCAGTATTGCGAATTGTGACTGAAGTTCGCGTCTCTGCGCAAGATAAAGAACCCGACACTTGGAGCAGTGCACGTGCCAGTGACAGGGCAGAGGCAGTGGATGCACTCACCAACTGGCAAATATTCGCCGATCTCGGTGCCGCCCAGCGCAATGGTTTGAAGGTTCAGCGAAAGGTTTATGTGTGTCACCACTGTTGCATTAGAAGTCATCGCATTTGTGGAGTAAATATGAATAAAGATGGGGTTTTTAAGTGCATGGGCAACCAGACCAAAGCTGGAAAGGATACCCGGAGCATTCTGTCCATTGTAGGTGGTGGTAGTTCCCAACCAGGTTTTGCAAAACATATTAACAAAGTTCCTCCATGCACAAAATCCTGCTACACTCATTGCAACATCGACAATCTTTAAGCTTGATCACATGCACATTCCGTGCAATTGACCTTAAATGACGTTTGAATGGCACCCAGGCAAGCCGCCAACATGTAATAACGGCACTGAACCATGTGTTTTTAGCAATAGGCAAAGTTTAGAATAGCAAAATGCATACATTAAATGAGCAACGAGCAGAAACATAATTTTTCCTTGCATCAGTGTTTTTCTTGGACTTCACGGCGGTCAAGGGCGCACTTGCCTAGTAGTCAGTTTCTCTCAACCCCTACAAAACGAAAGGAAACTTTGCCAAATGGCACGCATTGCACACTGCATAAAGGAGAATAAACTTCCCTGCTATGTTACCTCTTATTAAGATTGGATGAGCGAGACTTGCATGTGAGCGTATCTTCAAAGCGCTGCTAAGGTGTTGGGGGTGCTGGCCACTGTACTCACCACCATTGCCACCCACAAATTTCTGTGCTCGTGTGTCTCCAGGCCATAAAAGAGAGCAGAAAGACGTTCGTCTTCCTTGGGCAGGAAATACGGCTCATCCCGACGTGCGGAATATTCGTCACCATGAACCCGGGATATGCGGGGCGGTCCGAGCTGCCGGACAATCTCAAAGCCATTGTGCGCCCAGTGTCCATGATGGTGCCTGACTTCACCTTGATCGCTGAGATCATGATGTTCTCGGAGGGCTTCTCGATGGCCAAGATCCTCGCAAAGAAGATGATCGCCATCATGGAGCTGTCTCAGCAGCAGCTATCCAAGCAGGATCACTACGACTATGGACTACGGTGAGTTGGGCGTCGGGTATTGAAGCTGTCCTCTTGTGCCGCTGCACATACATGCGTCGCCTACATAAACTCGATCCCTACATGTAGATTTTCAGAAGTGTATGAATCACGAGCATCAGACGCGCCACATAACACATCAGACAGATATGAAATGTGCGCCGATGCTCCCAAGATCGATTCGTGATGAGCTGCACGGTTTACGTAGTTCAGTTGTAGGTAACCTGTTTTCGAGCATAAACTATGTGCGCACTTTGATTGTCATTGGTCTTCGTTGTTGCTGAGTCAAATCTAGCTCACCGCGTTCTCTGACAGCAGTCTGGCCACTAGGTCGATCCTAATAGAACTCGGATTCACCACGCGTTCCCAGTACTTACTCAAGCAGATATGTCACCACTTAGACAAAAGGAACACCTAAAACTACAATTGAGCCACATGCCTTTCATCCGTACCGCCGCATTGACCCGACGCAATAGACATAAATGTGATACTGAGACCAGCAGGCACTGAGCGTCGACCAAGGAAGAAAGCTTGCGACACAGTAGCGGCGTTCCTCTGGGAAAGCGTGGAACATGCCACCAATGTTCAATACTCTCTATTTCTGAATATGAAGTCTTGAAGGTCGTGAGGGCCTTGATGGTCATTTCTGGGCTTAGGGTGTTCAGTGTTTCTTCAGGTTTATCGGTTCATTTGGTTCAGGCTGTTAATATCAAACCGTGGTTAGGTCCTTCGTCATCCCAATCGCCCGCGCAGCTGGGGCGCTGAAGAGGGCCTTTCCGGACAACAACGAAGAGGCGATAATGTACAGAACCATGCTGGATCTCATTAAGCCGAAACTTGTGTACTTGGACCTTCCCCTGTTCATGGCACTTCTGTCGGACCTGTTCCCGGGAGTGGAGCTGCCGGCAAACGACGGCGGTCCCCTCAGAAAAGCCATTGAAGAATCTTTGATCGAAAGCAATCTTCAGGTGACAATTCTCCGTGATGCGGAGAGCAAGTTACACAGATGTTTTCATTGGTGCGCATGCAATGCTCTGAAAACAAGGCCAATGCCAGCGCCATTGTTAAATGTCGAATGCGGTCAGCAACTGGTATGGATGGGGATATTGCAAAATTGTTCTGTAATCCTTTTGATTTCGTGCACTTCAGTATCTTACAGTGACGACTCAGCGACAATGAGATATGGGGCATGATCCCGCATTCAAATTTTCCGAACGCGATTGCATAAACTCTAAGATACACCAAGATGATGCTAAAGGATGCGAAGGCGAAAAGTTGAGCAGTTGGTCCCATTTGTTGAAACCATACGAAGCGACCAATAGGAAGAAAAGGGCTAAACAACACGTGTTCAAACGTGTACGGGTTTGGGTCATTCTTTAGTTCTTAGTGTGCAGAAAATTGATAAATGCATTTTTATGCGCTTGCAAATGTGTTATTTGGTCCTTATTTTTGCTAGTGGACTGAACCCGTACATGAACGTATCACGTTGTTTCGCCAAACGAAACATGCGCCGGCGAACAGAATGCGAATTATGCAACCTCCAGAATGTCCATCTCACCGCTAGCATCTCAGTGGGCGCTTATAACCAACAGATTGGGCTGCATATCTATAAAAAGCAGACAAATCTCAGGTGTACCTGAATCACCACGCATCAGATTCCTGCATTTGGCGAGGAAGATCAGATAAGGCTGCAGACTGGTCGGTGTCACTTCGCTGCAATTCAACCACATGCATGTAGTTGGCCATTGATGCTCAGCCCGTGCTCTCATCTCGCACATGCAGGTGGTACCGGAGTATGTCGTGAAGATTGTACAGATATTCGACTGCAAAGTAGCGCGCCATGGGAACATGATCGTTGGGAAGACTGGCTCCGGGAAGACGGAAGCGTGGAAGTGCCTGCAAAAGGCAATGGCGAAGCTGAAGAAACAATTTCCGGATGAGGAAACGTATCAGAAAGTGGGTGTCATAAATTCATTGTCTCGTATATACGATATCTTAGATACCCAGATATATCTTCTGTACGAGACACTGCGCTGATTTTTGCAGCCAGTGTGTTCACTTCATCTTGTAACCAAGACACTGCAGATACATACCTAGAAAGATGGTGGCATACACATTGAGGGCGTTTGCTTGTCCCCCGTTCATCCATCTACTGCTTGCCAGGAAAATGTGCCTTGTGCACAATGAGGTAAGTCTCGGTCAATGAAAATTTGGTGCGTTTCTCTAGAAATACCGATCATGCGTGTTGCACAGCAGGTGCACAGAATGGCAGCAGATGAAGACAAATAGCAAGTGCACCAAACAACAGAGTCGGGTTTGTATCAGGACTGTGCTCAATCAAATTACGGCAGTTAAAATTAAATACCGCTTGCTTAGGCAATTTGACGTATAAAAGGTCAAATACTGAAATTGGGAAGGCACTTGTATGTGAACAGAGCATCTGGACATGAGTGAGTGGTGGGCAAAGGGCATCAGCAGTGATGCGCAACGTCGCTGTGTGTGTGAAGCAAATGTACACGTGACACTGGTACATTTGTATTGGTTGATCTGTAATTGGATGTCATTCATTCATTCATTCATTCATTCATTCATTCATTCATTCATTCATTCATTCATTCATTCATTCATTCATTTATATGTGAAATCGAAAGATGTGATGTCGACTGTGTCAGGTGCATGTGCACATCATCAATCCCCTGGCCTTATCGAACGACGAAATATATGGGAGCTTCGACCCAGGTACCCACGAGTGGCAAGACGGCATTCTCGCTCGCATCATGCGCTCAGTCTGCAAGGACGACAGTCCGGACCAAAAGTGGATTCTGTTCGACGGACCAGTGGACACGTTGTGGATCGAGTCCATGAACACGCTCCTGGATGACAACAAGTTGCTCACCCTTTTGAGCGGGGAGCGCATATCGATGAGTCCGCAGGTGACTGCAGCTCTTTGTGTGCTCTGTGGTATTTGGTATTTGGTATTGTGTGCTCTATTGTACCTTTGCAGCGGTCGAATGGCAAAGCGAAGCCTCGCACCTGCAAGGCGATGCTGGGAACAAGTCGGCACCGTGACGGGCCACAAGATTCTATGTTATCACCGATGGGAATTTAATGGGCGCTTCAATCCGAAACTAAAATTCGCTTGTGAATCTCTAAATCAACTGGCGCCTGAGATGTCGTGCTCGCTATCTGGGAATTGGAACCCTGTCTCGCTGAAGCCCTCTATACAATTCGCGGGAAACGGGGTGTGGAAGGAATAAATGCAAAGCCATGGAATAGTAAACTTCAGATCCAGAAAATAGCTTCCAAGTGCCAATAGGTAATTGTGTCCATTCCGCGACAAATTTGATGGTGAAAGGACGTGAGCGCCGGGTAGAACAGCGCCCTGACGTCAGCTGTTTCCCATATTCGATGACGACGTCATCTGCCACGGCAACATTTACAAATGCGTGCACGGCAGAGCTTTTGATGTTTATGATATGTGCTGCCGTAGGTGTCGATCCTATTCGAGGTAGAGGATTTGTCGCAGGCATCTCCGGCCACTGTCAGCCGAGCGGGAATGATATATTTGAACGTGGAGGACCTGGGATGGAAGCCGTTCGTGCAGTCGTGGATGGCCAAAAAATCGAATACGGTGCTTGTGGAAACGCTGTGGAGGTTGATAGACAAATACATGGAGGCGGTCCTGGAGCACAAGAGGATGAATTGCAGGGTAATTGACATTGACCATATCATGATTGTATTCTCGAATTCGATCGCGTAGAAACAGGCTGCTGGAGAATGCTCGCGGAAACTTAAATAGTGCATGATCCACCACTCCTAGCACAGATTAAAAGCGCTGACATGCCGTGCAGGGATGTGCTGAGACTGCTGCATGTCTGCTAGAAAGGTACTTGCACTGCCGGGAAGGCTGCCGTAAGTCTAAAGCTGTGGCCACCTTCCCAGCAGTCCCGGCTTCAAATTTGAAGCGAACATGTGCAACGAGTTTCCACAAGTCTTCACCCATGGGCACAGTACCCTTGCCAGCGTGTGAGTTTGGTGGCACGTGGAACAGTTTTCACACCTTGATGTAGTACTTATGTCCTCGAAATACTGGTGAATTACCTTATCTTTTGCGCCATGTTTCTGTTCACCACATTTTTTCAGCATTTGACATTGACCTGTGTTGTTGCCATGGTTGTTGCGAACTGTTAGGACCTAGTTCCCTGCGACCGGCTGAGCCTCGTTCGAACCTTCACGAAGCTGTTCGATCACTTTGCGGTGCCCGAGAACGGGGCAAATCCAGAAGAGGCCGAACACTACCCGCTGATGATAGAGCTCTGGTTCCTGTTCTCCATCATCTGGGGCCTTGGCGGCCCTCTGGATGAGGGCAGCAGAAAAAGGTAGAAACGCGCATCGACCTGACGCTGTGTTGAATTTCCCGTTTGTTTCCTGCATGGTTGAGATTTTACTTTAAAAAAACGAACATCGCCATAATTTCGATTGCAACGGCGGGAAGTGGATATAAAAGCGCAGCTGAATTGACTCCTTCTGGCCCCGCGTCAATGCAGTTGCGCGATGAGTGCACGATGCGAACTGCCCATGCATGGAAAGCAAGTTCTTAAGATGGGCGCGTTTTGCAAGCGTCGTGACGTCATGGGCCTCCAGTCAGACACATTGTGGGCAAATGTACATGCCGATTTCTTATCCGCACAAACATTGTTACCCAGCGGTCAAGGTTGGAGACTGTTACATCGGCGACACTAGCAGAAAACGGCATGTTTGCGATGCCAACTGCGATGCCATTTTGACACAAAGTGATGCCGTCACATTGCGACGGCATAAAGGCGGCTGCGATGGCGTTAATTTGTGTCAAATGGCGTCGCAGTTGGCATCGCAATCATGCCGTTTTCTACCGGTGCGAACTCCCGATTCTCCGAATGGCAGCCACCATATCAGCAGCGCCATGCTACAAGGACCGTCATCGCGCGATGCAAGCGCGATTTTTGTCACCATGTTTTAGGATTGAAATTTCTTCGAAGCTACAACCATTGCAGGAATCAACCGCCGCATTTCGCTGATAGCGCTCTGATGCAATCTAATCGAACCCCAGCCATTCCTCAATCAACAGCCCCGGGTAAAGAATAAGTGAACCGCAACATCTTGACATGCTTGACTAATTAGGTAACTCTGCAGGTTGAAACCTTCGTGTGACGCCAAGCACGCTTGTTCCTGCATGCAAGTTTTTAGTTGCCGTTGTTAAGATTTAGGTTTCTTTGAATCGCAGCCAAGTAAGCTTCAACCATCTTATGTTTGTGGATGGCACTTTGCTGCGATCCCATCGCCCCACAGCCCCTCCCCAATACTGATGACGAATCATTGAACCACCACATCGTCACTTGCTTGACTGCACTGGTGAAGGCGGGCAGGGTCGAGGGGTGGCGATCCCTGACTGGGGACCGTAGACTCGAGTCCACGGCCATGGCTTACAGCCGAGAAAACGGGCAACAGGAGTTCTGTCCCACGTATCCAGTCCGTTCATCATTGTCCTTAATGCAATTCCTAATGCCTCTTCCCCCCTTTTTTGCGCCCAGCTATTAGTAATGCTCAATCAGCTCTAGTTACAGCAGCACCAAATGCGCTTGTCCCTGCCCAGCTTCGACGCCTTCATGCGAGACCTGGACACGCGCTACCCCAGCGCCGACACGGTCTTCGAGTACTTAGTGGACCCCAAGAACCGCACCTGGGCTACGTGGGACTCGCGGCTGCCCAGCGCCTACAAACCCCCCGCCCACCTGCCCTTCTCAAAGATCCTGGTGCCCACCGTGGACACCATCCGCAACAAGTACGTCATCTGCGGCCTGGTGGCAATAGGCCAGCACGGGCTGGTCGTCGGCAACGTCGGAAACGGCAAGACGATGCTGGTGCAGTCTGTGCTGGACTCCCTGCACGACAGCTACTCCTTCATGGTCATCAACTTTTCGGCGCAGACGTCCTCGAACTCGCTTCAGGTGCGGCGGGAGGGCGGTGGCGTGGCGTCGACAGGGGAGGGCTCCACCAGTGATGTATCTCCAGGGATTGCCACTCATGGTTGAAATACTGCCCTTTTCGAAATCTAGTGCGAAGCGCATAATAAGTGCATTGTATAAAATAATATCATAGTGCAGCAATCAGCAATGGATAGTAATCATAGTGAACAGATAGTGTAATGTAACATGATGAATAGAATAAATACAATGAATTAACAGCCAAAATGAACTATGTAGGACCGATTGCAATGCCAAGTTTTTAGACATCGGGTTCATTGGATAATCCAGTGCGTTGAGTCGCTGTGGGCATTGCATGTCGCCAGGCGCTCCTGGCCGTGATTCGAACTCTGTGATCGCGTCAGAGCCGCCCGTCTCTCGCAATGCCTCAATCGCGTATTTCGCGTGCCGCAATCTCAGGCCACGATCGAGGGCAAGCTGGAGAAACGCACCAAAGGCGTGTTCGCTCCCGTTGGAGGTAAAAAACTGGTGACGTTCATCGACGACCTCAACATGCCGGAGAAGAGCGTGTTCGGCTTCATTCCCCCACTCGAACTCCTGAAGCTGTGGGTGGACTCTGGCTTCTGGTACGACCGGGAGCGCTGCGAGGCGAAGTGGGTGAAGGACATGCAGCTGCTGGCGGCGATGGCCCCCCCCGGGGGAGGTCGCAACCCCTTCAGCCAGCGCATACAGTCGTGCTTCAGCGCCATCAACGTGACGTCGCCGAACGACGCGCAGTTGAGGCGGATCTACGGGACGCTGCTGAACGGAAAGTTGGCGGATTTCGACAACGAGATCAAGCCCATGGGGGACCAACTCGTTCAGGCCACCATCGAAATCTACAGGTGACGGGCGCTGGTCTTTGCAGCCAACCCTTTTACTTTACGCGATTCCCTTGTAGCAGAATCTGTAACCAAATTCGACGTTTGATCTAGGCTTTGCGGAAGCCGCGAGCTGGCATATGTTAATCGACAAATGGACGGGAACAGCGACGCTTGGCGGTCATTGTGACTGCGCCTCAACTTGGCATTCTACCGCGAACGCCCCGGTGAGCAAAGTACGTACTTGAAGTACGATGATAAGCACTAAGTACTAGTAATGCTTAGCATTCGTGAGTGGTAATATGGTGCATCAACATGTGGACTTGAAATACACAATATGCATGTTGCATGCCTTTGCCTTTGAAAGTGCCTTCGCGAGGCGGAGAAACACAAGGCCATTGTTTGCAGGTCCGTCTGCCTGGAGCTGCTGCCCACGCCATCGAAGAGCCACTACCTGTTCAACACGCGAGACATGGCCAAAATCATCCAGGGCTCCATGCAGGCCACCAAGACCTTCTACGACTCCCGGGAGGCCATGCTGCAGCTGTGGTGCCACGAGACGTTCCGCATCATCGGCGACCGCATGTGGGACGCGACGGACAAGGTGTGGCTGAGGACGCAGCTGGACCAGAAGCTGAACAGCATCTTCGGCACCGAGTGGGACTCCGTGTTCGAGGGCGGAGATGTGCCGCCGTTTGTGTCGTTCATGCGCCAGGTTGACAACCACCCGTATGAGCCCGTGTCGGATATGAACGCGCTCAAGGTGAGGCTTGTTGGCGGGTGAATTCGGGCCTGCACGGTGCTTTGCTGACGGGTGGCGCTGCGACGCGTCTCTTCATAGAGGAGTGGGGGAAGAGGGCAGCATGAGAAATGGTGTAAGTTGCACTCGCAACAAAAGGACCAAATAACACTTTTACGAACACACCTAAAACACATTTCATCAAAGCTGTGCACGCTAAGAACACAAAAATAACACACCCGTAAACTTTGTGCACGTTTGAACATGTGTTGTTTGGCCCTTCTTTCCTAGTGTTGCCTGCAGCAGGCGAACGGGAGCAATAGGAAGTTCGCCATTGCCTGGGACTGCATCGGTCCAAAGAGTCAATTGCGATTCGCGCTGGTTTAGGACTACCAATTTACAATCTTTGAAAATTTGAAATACGGCCGATATCAATAGTATTCGGCAGTATTTCGAATTGCCCATGTTCGTGGCTCCCATGCTCTGGTGGCAAAACAGGAAACTGGCCTCCAGGGGCACAGCAACGCGGAATGATGTACATAAACATTCTGCGAAATTTGTAACATTGATTCTTTCAATATTCATGCATTTCTTATTTAAAGAAGTGCATGAGAATTAGAAGCAGAAATCAATTTAAGAATGAAGTGAAGATGAAAAAATGCCCGGCGCTGGAAAAAGGGTAACCGCGGCGCCTTGTCGTGTGTGGGCAGGAATTTCTGTCTGAAAAGCTGGAAGACTACGGACTGGAGCCGGGAAACAATGCCATGGACTTGGTGCTGTTCAGAGACGCTCTGCACCACGTGTGTCGCATCCACCGCATAATCACTCAGCCGCGGGGCAACGCCCTGCTGGTGGGAGTCGGTGGCAGCGGGAGGAAGAGCCTGGCGAGGTTGGCCACGTACGTCGCGGAGGCCAAGTGCTTTAGCATCGAGATCGGCAAGAACTACAGACAGGTGCGCGGGACACGCCAACCTGGAGCGTCGTAGAGCGTCCTAGATAGGAAAAAAACGCGCCTGAACTGAAATGGCCTTGCTGGGCTTTGCTGCAAGCAACGTTATTGATTGAGCTCGCCTGCCGTTACTGTGGAGGTCATTTTCAAGTATGTCAAAAACACCGAGTATTCCGTATCCCTGAAATTGATGCGTCACTTGTGTTTTATCTGGCGGTTCTCGGCCGAAAGCGCCCTGAGCTTCACCTATTGCTTGAAGGCAATTGACGTCAAGACTTGTGTCGAGTGATTTAGTTATAATTGTAGCTCCATCTGCTGCCTCGGGTAGGTCGAATTCCACGAGGACTTGAAGGGCCTGTACAGGATGGCGGGGTGCGCCAACAAGCCAACGACTTTCCTCTTCGACGAGACGCAGATCGTCGTGGAAACGTTCTTGGAAGACGTCAACAACATCCTGACTTCTGGAGAGGTCCCTAATCTGTTTGGGAAAGACGAAATAACGGGCGTGCTGGACGAAGTCAGGGCCGCTGCAAAACAGGCAAGGGACAGCTGCTGCTCGGGACCTGGGCCAAAATACACAATAGCGCTCATGTCTTTGGAGCACCATATGACGTGTTTTTCATCAAATGTCTTTGCAATCGCCTCAGGCAGTGCGATCAGTGGGCGTATCATGTCGTCATTGCAACCGCCAGGGTGCTGTGCCGGCCGACCTCGGGAGGCAGTCGCAACGTGGATGTCCACAGACATGGAAACAAATGGGCACAATGTTCCACTTTTCGTGAGGTGTGCGGCATGCGCATGCTGTGCAGAATTCCATGCGCCGGTATCAGCACCGCAACAGTTGGACGTATTATTCTTGATTAGCCCCACGAAGTCTCAATGGGTATTTCTGTAATGCATGTCAAGTCTAACTACCTCTGCGTGTTTCAGAAACCGCTCGGTGTGCAGCGTGAACGGCAATGTTCCTGTGATAGCGGCTTGGGCTTCGTAGCTCGTTCCCTTGTCACTGGCGGGAACTGCCACAACAACATGTTGGCATGGTTTCACTTTAGTTTCCATTTGGATAGATGAATTGAAGCTAGTAAGAAAGTGAGCATTGAAAAGCGCGTTGGTGACAGACTTGGCCCCAATTCCCGCACGTCGTCGACTGTTGAAACGCGGTTTCCAACAAATTAACAGGATTTATGATGTAACGCTGGCAGGCGTGCAAGCAATCAGCTTGCGCCTGCGAAACCGCAATTGCGAACAAAGCGAGATGAAACGACCATGAAACATTCTACAGAAATTCCGCAACTCAAATGGAAAAATCCTGCAGCTGAAACACTTTAAAAGTAACTATCTCTTGCACCTCAAACATTACCAATCGAATAAACAAACATTGGTAAGTACGCCGAAATCCTGCATGCTGATTTTCACAAACAGGCGGGCTACGGCGAGACCATGACAGGCCTGTACGACTTCTTCCTGGAGCGCGTGCGCACCAACCTGCACGTCGTGCTGTGCCTGAGCCCCGTGGGTGTCGCCTTCCGCGAGAGGTGCCGTATGTTCCCCGGCCTCGTCAACTGCACCACCATCGACTGGTTCACGGAGTGGCCATCGGATGCGCTGTACGAGGTGGCGGCTAAGCAGCTGGAGGAGGAGAACCTGGGCTCTCCGGAAGTCATGGACAGCATTTGCAAGGCAAGGAAACGACGGAAACAGGATTGATCGATGAGCAGCTTGAGCACGGCTCGAAATGCGGATGCGCCTGCACACTTAACACACGTCTAGTATGTGGGGTTTGTCGTGATTCTGTACTGAACTGCATGGACCATCCAGTGGTAGGAAACCCATGTGCATCTGTTCAGTGCATGAACAGCGGCAACGCAGGGCAATCACCACCTGCCTTACGCCAAGTTGTGGTAATCAAGAAAATCACATTCTCTTTTGGCAAGCACAAATGAAGTAAAACACCTGCATTCCAGATGATAATCTACTGGGCGCTGTTCTGTGTTTCCCTTCGTGTACTGTGGTCCTGAGGCTGGATTCTGGTATAATTTGCTTGCAGATGAGGTGCGTTGCGCACGGGCATGGTAGCTATGGTCATTTCGGAAATGAGTACTCGAAGTTATTTAGCGCATGGACTCACCGCCATTGCTGAAATTGAAGGAGCAACTCCCTTTGTTTTTCAGAGCTTAGTGCTGTTCAGGATGCGAGCACATGTCTGCATCAACGACACGCCTTTGAAGCATCGCCAAATTTTTGAGCACACAATCGAAACGTTATATCCATTATTGCCCTGAAGGTGTTCGTGACGGCCCATCAATCCGTGGAGACAATGTCAAAGAAGATGCTGGAGGAGCTGAGGCGCCACAACTACGTGACTCCCACAAACTACCTCGAGACCGTTCGTGGCTACCGCGGCCTGCTGTCCGAGAAGCGGGCGGAGATTGGCGGCAAGGCCACCAAGCTGAAAGGCGGGCTGTTGAAGCTGTCAGAGACGTCCGTGCAGGTGGCAGACATGCAGGTTGTGTGCGAGGACAAAAAGGTGGTGGTGGCTCAAGCCAAGACGGACTGCGAGGAGTTGCTAGTGGAGATCGTGCAGGACAAGAGGGTTGCGGACGAGCAGGAGAAGCAGGCGAGTAACCAACTCGTCAAAAGGGGAAAGACATCTTCCGTCTCATGTTTTGATCATTGTCAACCATTCACGACGGTTCAAGGACGGAAATCCGTCTCGCGAATGAGGCAGATTTGCTCCAGCGCAGCGGAATTGCTCCTGATTGGACGCGTTGTGATCCCTGCATAGTGCGGCGGGAGACCTTGCAAAAGAAGAGGACTGTGATCGAACTGCCGTGCACTATCCATAATCATTACCACGACCAATGTATAACACCCCAGAAGAACAAGGCTTGTATGAAAGCCATCTTGAGTCCAGCGTTTTCGCTTCGGACCCCCTCGTTGTGGCTCCAAGCACGCAAGGGCAAAACTGTCAGCTTGCTTTTGTGCCTACATGTACATTGCTCGAACAAGGTCCGAGTTCTCGGTGCCGTGGCGTGCGTCCAGGTGAATGCCGAAGCCCAGAAGATCGGGAAAGAGGCCGACGAGGCCAACGCCATAGCCGTGCAGGTGCAGGGAGAGCTGGACAAGGCGCTTCCCGCCCTCGAGGCCGCCGAGGCTGCGCTCGAGGTGCTCACGAAAAAGGACCTGTCGGAGCTCAAGGCGTACGCTAAGCCGCCCGCCCTCGTGGAGCTGACGCTCGGCGGCGTGATGACGGTCCTGAAGCGGCCCGCCACGTGGGACGAAGCCAAGAAGCAGCTGGGGGACGCCAGCTTCATGGAGAAGCTGACCAAGTTCGACAAGGACAAGCTGGATGACTCGCTGCTGAAGAAGATCGCGAAGTTCACCAACAACAGCGATTTCAAGGCGGAGGTGATCGGCAAGGTGTCTGCGGCTGCTAAGGGTGCGTGTGCGGGGCCTTGCTAAAGTTTGATGATGACGATGATGAATTCCATAATTACATTTATCATTATTATTATTATTATTATTACTATTTTATTATTATTGCTATTTTTGTTATTATTATTGTGGTGGAAACCAAGGCTGTCTCACGGTCGGTCCCGGACACGGGAAGCAATGCCATAACCAGATGCGTTACAGGACACACCAATCAACTAACTCTTGCTAGAATGTTCCCAGTTAACACTCACTTTATCTCCGTATTCATTTCACCATATTTTAACACCATGCCCCCGTGTCCAGCCACATCGCAACTAGCACCATCCCCTTTATAGCTACTTGTTCAATTCCTCGCCCTCACAATGATGATGATGATGGTGATGATGATGATGAATTCTTAATTACATAGGGCTCACTAAACTCGAATCCGCTCCCAGCAGCATAAACATGATGGTGATGGTGGTGATGATGGTGATAATGGTGATGATGGTGATAATGATGATGATGATGATGATGATGATGAAATTCCATTAACTGCGTGTCAGCCATCGAGGGCTGTGTCGCCACCCAGCCACACAAGAACAGTATGTCCATTTCTTGCCCCAGTGTTCGTCTCACTCATGTACCAACTATCCGCTTCTACAGTGAGGCATAAAAATCATTCAAAATAGAATGCCTAATTTTGATGGCCAAGCTGAAGCCATTTCAGAATCAGACACTCAGGGTTTTGTGTTGTCTCTGCCGATGATGCACTAAACAGATAGGAGATCTGAGTTGACAGAATTTGTTGGATTTCGGTGGCCTGTGGTAAGTATGCTGACTGGAAGTGTTGGTTCCAATTTGAGTCTTGTCGAAGGTCGACAGTATGAATTTGGAATTGGAAACTGCCGGATAGATTGCCATAGCTGTAATAAACGTTGATGCGTGATAATACAGCCGCCAGCATTGGTGGATGTATTTAAAGTCAACAGCCTCAAACAACATGTAAATTTGAATGCGCATGAATCGCCAGTACGAGGTTTATAATTGGCTGCAGATGTGCCACTTGCGCGGCAGGAATGTGCATGTGGGTATGCGCTATGGAAGTCTACGGAAAAGTTTCGAAGGAAGTCGCTCCCAAGCGTGCAAAATTAAAAGCCGCGCAGGAGAACCTAAGGAAGAAGCAGACAGCGCTGAAAGCAGCTCAAGATCAGTTGGCAGAGGTCCTTGCCAAAGTCCAGGCGCTGAGGGACAAATACGATACCTCGACAGCCAAGAAGAAGGAGCTGGAGGATGAGCTGTCGGATTTAGAGGGGAAGCTCGAGCGTGCCCAGAAGCTGGTGTCCGGTGAGTGAGCGCACGCCGCAGCCGTCTGGCCGCTAGCTTCGATGAATGCCTCAGGGTTAGGCTGCGGCCGAAGTTCGGTGGCCGAAGTAAGAGTGTGTTCTATTTGCCCCCGTTGTCTGCGTCAGGGTCGTCCTGGATTTGTTGAATTGTCACGGCCACTTCCAGTTTTCGGCTTCAGGAGATTGGAGCTGTCGTTCTATCAACGCCGAGGTTTGCTCATGTAAACATAGAGTGCTTTGCAAGCACGGAGCACCACAGGGATGTGGAAATGGCGCAAAGTGGGCGCGCCGGTGGAACTCGATAGACAAAGCTCGTAGGATTCCTCGCGGAATCGAATTCTCCCCCTTGCCATGGATGCATGCCTTTCAGGCCTTCCGCCGATGTATGCACTTTCACTACCAGAATCACCTGTTTGAGATGCGAACTGCAACGCCAATTTGACAGTAAGTTAAGCCATCACAGAGATTGCTGTGGCGTAGAAGCAGTATGGTGACATCAAATTGTGTCAAATGGCATTGCAGTTGGCATCGCGAAATGTCGTCTCCACTGCAATAGAAACGACATTTTGACAATGCCATTTTGGCGATGCCAAACACCAACTGGTGTTTGCCACGTAACTCAGCAATGCGAAATCTCGCTCACTCCCCATGCCTGCAGGCCTGGCCGGAGAGAGGACGAGGTGGGAGTCATCCATCGCCGACTTCGAGCAGCAGATGTCCAGGCTGCCTGGCGATGTCGTCATCGCCTCCGCCTTCATGTCCTACGCCGGGCCCTTCCCAAGCGAGTTCAGGCTGGAGCTGGTGCGCAACACCTGGCTGCCGCAGGTCAGGGGCCTCAATATCCCCGCCACGGAGGGCTTCGACTTCGCGCTGTTCCTGGCCAACCCCTCGGACGTGCGGGACTGGAACATACAGGGCCTCCCGGCTGACTCCTTTTCCACGGAGAACGGGGTCATGGTGACCCGGGGCCGGCGGTGGCCGCTGATGGTGGACCCCCAGGTAATGGGGATAATAATGATGAAGTTCCATCGGCTGAGCGCCAGCCACCGACACTAGGAAAAAAAGGTCCAAATAACACGTGTTCAAACGTGTACAAAGCTTACGGGTTTGTGTTATTTTTGTGTTCTTAGCGTGCAGAACGTTGATGAAATGTGTTTTATGTGTGTTCGCAAAAGTGCTATTTGGCGATTTTTTTTCCTAGTGCGAGTACTATCACCACCTCGCAACACAAGAGCTGCGAGATCATTGATGATGATTATGAAGAAATCAGGGCTCCACACACGGTCGCTCCCAGCCATGGGAAGCGAAGCCGTAACCAGATGCGCTACGGGACAAGCACATCAATCAAACAGTACTCACTGTAAATGTTCTCAATTAATAATATCCATTTCACCACGCTTCAAGACAATGTCCCCAGTATCCAACCACACCATATTTATCACCACGCTCCTCATAACTATTTGTTTAATTCCTCGCCCTCGCTATGACGATGGCGACGATGACGTGATGCTGATGGTGATGATGAAACCGATGATGAAATTCCAGTATTTGCGTGTCGGCCACCGAGGGCTATGTCGCCACCCTGCCAAACAAAAACGGTATGCCAGTGTTTGTCCCAGCGTTCGCCATCACTCATGTGCACCGCTGTCCGACTCTGCATTGAGGCCTCCGTGGTCCCACAGGTGCAGGCCAACAAGTGGATCAAGAACATGGAGGGCGCCAACGGGCTGAGGGTGCTGAGCCTGAACATGGCGGACATGGCGAGGAAGATGGAGGCAGCCATACAATTCGGGGAGCCGGTGCTGCTGCAGGACGTCATGGAGGAGATCGACCCCGTGCTGGAGCCCGTGCTGGCGAAGGCGTTCATCAAACAGGGCAACCAGACGCTCATCAAGCTCGGGGACAAGGAGGTGGGGACGGTGTCATCAAACATCAGCAGAAAACGATATTTTGTCGATACCAACTACGATGCCATTTGACACTGACTGATGCCATCACACCTACTATTATGCCATGACAACCACAGTGATGGTGCCGCTTTGTGTCAAATTTCCATCGCAGTTAGCATTGCAAGCATGGAGTTTTCTGATAGTGAAAGTGGCCTGCGCTGGTAGAAAACATTTTGAACAATGCGAACTGCGACGCCATTTCGACAGTAAGTGTTGCCAACACAGTGATTGCGATGGCACGGAAGTATCCGCGATGGCATCAGTTGGTGTCACCTGGCATCGCAGTTGGCGTCGCAACAATGGCGTTTTCTGCTGATTCTGGGGTTGAAGATGGTGATCTGATATCCGCACTGTCAGAATCCACTCATCGCCGAGTGGATTCGAACTGCGAGGAACCGAGGAGCAGTGGAGAATGTTCGCTGATTTTTGCAAAATGAGGATTGAGTCGCCGTGTGGGTGGACCAATTAAAGGACGCTGCTGTGACAGATTTTGGACGCCGCCATTGCAGAACGCAGCAGCACCATTATGCAACACCTGGGGTCTCCGATGGAGCATCCGCACCCTCCATTGGTCGTGTTTGGTGGGATTGATGCCCTTTGTGGTTAAGTTTTCCTTGCGCCAAGCACGCCATTAATTGGAGATCGGCAACGAACTGAGAGCGTTCAGCGCATGCAGCAGTTCCGCGGCTAGTCTTCAGACACCAGTAGACCTGTTGGCAATGGCAGATCCCAGATATGTCCTTGCGTCGCCGTGGACGGTGGTGGGGATTCCCACAAATCCGCGATGGCGAGATGGGCAGCCATGCGCCATCTCTGCCGGTTGTTCATCTTGATGGATGCCGGTCGTTGCGCTAGAGCCTGATCGAAGTTGGCCAGTGCCCTGAAGTAAAGAAGAGGGGCTCCACTTGTGTGTTGGGCCATCCCAGACTCAGGAACCTATTTTTTGGCGGGCGGGGGATGCCCTGGGAGAGATCAAATTCTGGACTGGAATAGCGCAGGTCCAATGCATTGCGAAATGCAGTGTACTTAATCATTACCTCAGATTGCTACTTACTATCAGTAGTTACATGTATTACATGTATAGCAGGTGTTTCGATTGCATTTTCAACAAAACCAGTTGAGGGTTCGATGTAAATTTAGCCTCACATAAAATTGTTTCATTCAGTTTGGGAGAGAAGAATTACAACATGAATGCAGCCCCGTATACACAAGGATAGTGCATACAGGCTTAAGGAGCCAGGGGAGTGGCAGGAAAACGCGCTGGATTTGGCAGAAAACGAGCTTTTGTTCTATGTCGTCGTTGTCCTTGCTAAGGGCGTGGTGGACATTGTCTTGTGGGTGCTGGAGATGGCAGAGGACTGATCATTGTACGCGACTTTCATAGTGTAACCTGGGTGTTCCAACGAGCCGTAAAAATGTGAGAATAGCAGCAAAATTTGCCCCATTCGCAAAATTACGTTTTTGCGTAATAAAACGCAAGCGTGAAAACGTAAACACAAACGCTAATACCAAGCCTGCGTGAGGCTACTGATTGTGCAATGCCTGGAATCGACATATGATAGAAAGGGCCTCAAATGATGTCAATCAGTGGCAGCCAAGTCGCGACTTGTTCGAAAACCTCCTACAAAGCGTTCAATCGTTAGCATCCAAAATAGAACAACTTGCAACCTCTCGGGCAGCCGGCATCACCTCCCATTGCTTCAATCGTACCATTTTCAATCCATCACAATCTCTGAAACGCTGGACCTTTGCCTTTCTTTAAGACTGATTGAAGCTGCGTTGCACTGTTGGTCAATATAGCCGAGTTGTAGTGGCACCGACGAAACGGCTGATCAATTTGAGGAAGGAGGTTGGGGTTCCGCCAACTTTCCGGCGTCATTTGGACGCTAACTCTGCAAAGTCGACACAAATGTGGTTCCCTAAGGATGTGCCATCTTGCATATCTCGTCGTGTGGTTTTGGCAGCGCTGCCAATTATGCGTCAAGCCGCCTGCCTGTACAGCAGCAACACTGCACATAAGAAAACGATGTGCCAACGCACACAGGTCGACTACAATTTCGACTTCAAGCTGTATCTCACAACCAAGCTTGCCAACCCCCATTACACGCCCGAGATCTCAACCAAGGTCATGATCGTCAACTTCGCGGTGAAGGAGCAGGGCCTGGAGGCCCAGCTGCTCAACACGGTCGTCAAGTGCGAGAGGCCCGACCTGGACAAGCAGAAGAACGACCTGGTGGTGAAGGTCGCCCAGGGCAAGCGAACCCAGGCCGAGCTGGAGGACCAGATCTTGTTCATGCTGTCCACCGCCACGGGCTCTCTGCTGGACAACGTGGAGCTGATCAACACGCTGGATCAGTCGAAAGTGACTTGGGAGGAAGTGAACGAGTCTCTAAAAGTTGCAGAGGAGACCTCCGTGAAGATAGAGGCCGCCTCGCAGCAGTACCAGCCCTGCGCCCTGAGGGCCTCCATCCTGTACTTTGTGCTGAACGACCTGTCCGGCATCGACCCCATGTACCAGTTTTCGCTGGACGCGTACAACGACCTGTTTCTACTATCCATAAAAAACAGCCCCAAGAACGACAACCTCCAGGAGCGGATCAAGCACCTCAACGACTACCACACCTACGCGGTTTACAGGTACGTGGCGGCACATTTGCGGATATCCTTGCAAAATTTCTACGTCTGCGCGAAGTCTTTTTAAGAAATTTTCGAACTAGAACTCTTTTGAACTTGAGTGCTATCGCTGAATGCGCAGTGGTTTCCGAATGTGGTCAAGTCAAGGCTCCCCGAAATGGCTTTATTGTCCATTTGGCAGAAAGGGTGGTGCCCTGCCAGTCAACGGCATCTTCGGCGGCATTTTGTGTGCCAAGATGCCTGCAAGTGAGCGTCAAGTTAATGAACATGGTGGCCGCGTGGGAACAGTGGGTGCGGTCGTTTGGTTGAGGGATCAGATGGGCCCCGGACGGTCTTGGACCAACTGATATTCACGGCTGACGAGCGCCATGTGCAACAACAGGTACACAGCGCGGGGTCTGTTCGAGCGCCACAAACTGCTGCTGTCCCTTCAGATGTGCATGCGCATCCTTCAGTCCTCCAAGCAGATCAACATCGAGGAGTGGCAGTTCTTCCTCAAGGGCGGCTCCGTTCTGGACCGCTCCCTCCAGCCTCAGAACCCCGCCAGGGCTTGGCTCTCCGAGATGGCGTGGGACAACATCACCGAGCTGGCCAACCTGCCCAACTTCAAGGGCATCAGCGACAGCTTCGAGGCGTCGCCCGGCGCATGGGAGGCCTGGTACCGGGAGAACGAGCCCGAGGTGGCGGAGCTGCCCGGGGAGTGGGAGCCCAAGTGCAACGAGCTCCAGCGCATGGTCCTGGTGCGGTCCCTGAGGCCCGACAGGGTCATCTTCGCGGCCACGACGTACGTCGCCAACTCCCTGGGGCGGAAGTTCGTCGAGCCGCCCGTGCTGGACCTGGGCGAGACGTTCAACGACTCCACGCCCTTCTCGCCCCTCATATTCGTCCTCTCCCCCGGCGTGGACCCCACCGACGCCCTCAGGAAGCTGGCTCACGAGATCGGCTTCGACGACAGGCTGTTCACCGTGGCGCTGGGCCAGGGCCAGGCGCCCGTGGCCACGCGGCTGATCGAGGAGGGCATGAAGGGCGGCACGTGGGTGTTCCTGGCCAACTGCCACCTGATGACCAGCTGGCTGCCCACCCTGGACAAGATCATCGAGGGCATGGAGGGGCAGCGGCCGCACGAGGACTTCCGCCTGTGGCTGTCCAGCAGCCCGTCGCCCAAGTTCCCCATGGCCATCCTGCAGAGGGGCATCAAAATGACCACGGAGCCGCCCAAGGGCCTGCGCGCCAACCTGTTCAGGTTGTACAACACCATCACGGAGGACGGGCTCGCGGAGTGCAGGACGCAGCACAAGTACCAGAAGCTGCTGTTCTCGCTGGCTTACTTCCACAGCGTGCTCCTCGAGCGCCGGAAGTTTAGGACCTTGGGACTGAACATCCCGTACGACTTCAACGACACCGACTTTAAGGTGGCGTTTCTCAAGATCTGCGCACCCGGCAGCTTCTGAGCCTCCCCCTCGTTGCTTGCGCACCAGCTGCGTTGCATCCGCCGGAGGTGTTCAGAGTTCATGCAGCTGTGCATCTAGGTATTTCTCAAAGACAGGTAGTGTCCACTAGCGCAGTTACTGATCTGCTTGAGATTGGATGCATGAACGTATCCCTAAAAGCAGCGCGAACGCGCGAATGTGCTTGAGATGGTCGGCGCAGTCTCATGTGTGCATGGGGTGGCTGTCCGGCTGTTCTACTGAACAACGCTCGAGGTCATACGCAATCCATTCCTTTCATTCCCTTCTTCAGGTGTCGGATGACCTGCTGAAGTCGTACTTGGACAGCTACGAGGAGACCCCCTGGGACGCCCTGAAGTACCTCATCGCCGAGGCCAACTACGGCGGCAGGGTCACGGACGAGCTGGACCGCCGCGTCCTCAACAGCTACCTCAGCAAGTTCTACTGCGAGGCGGCGCTGGCCAAGTCCAACTACCCCCTGTCCCCCCTGCCCACCTACTACATTCCCGACAACGGCAGCCTGCAGATCTTCAAGGACTACATCGTCACCTTGCCGGCGACGGACAGGCCGGAGGCCTTCGGCCAGCACCCCAACGCCGAGATTTCGTACCTGCGGGAGGACAGCAAGATCGTGCTGGACTGCCTGCTGTCGCTGCAGCCGGCGTCCGCCGGCGGTGGCGGCGCCGTGAGCAGGGAGGAGCTTGTGCTGGGCATCGCGCAGGACCTGCTGGAGCAGGTGCCCGCGCCGTTCAACCTGGAGGAGGTGATGAAGAGGAAGGCGGAGGACCCGTCTGCGCTGCACGTCGTGCTGTTCCAGGTGGGGGTTCGTGTCGAAGCCCGCGGGCGCGCTGGGCGCGCGGTCTGCGTGCTGAGTGCTGTCCCTTTTGTGCCCATTTAGTCTCGGAAGTTGTCTGACCTGATACGTGTTTCTGCCGCTTGTATGGGAACTGGCAGCTGCTGTGCACTTTCTCAAGGTAGAGCAGTGCTTGTATTCGGTGTCATGTGAATGAATTAGTAAGTCTATCCTGAAAGGCAACGGCTCAATGGTCATGTCATCTGCCTTTGCTCACATCAGGTCGTCAGACAACAACAGGCTTGTATTAGCTCACAAAATTGCCTCATGATTCTTGGCGATAATGCCCCAACCTGCACAACATCATGCTACTTAAGTATACAGATGGGCCAGCAGGAAACACCAGATTGCACTCAATGTTTGTTCATCGCCCCGCCCGTTGTCCATCCCGACGCCCTGCATTCTGTATCGTGTGCAGTAGCTCAAACCACCACCATGTAGACTTTTCGGCTGGGTCGATGAGCTTGCACATGTTCCCAGCGTTCGACAAGCACATCTTGCATGACACTTGCCTGCAGACCTGCTTCAGTTTGGGGTGGACAAACAAGTCACCAAACACAAAAAAAGAAACTTCGTCACGTCATCAAGAAGGAATCGCAGACCTGTTCCGCTGCCGGGGCCAGACTTCCGGTGCTGGATGCCGACGAATGGCATTCGACGTGCGCGCGCCACACCACACGGACAATCCACGTTACATTGTGCTGCCTGCTGCACACCACAAGGGGCCGATCATGCAGAGGCATTGTCGGTCCAAACATGTGGGTCACACTTGCAAAAACCACCATTTGGGACATGTCAACTGTGACGCATTTTGCACGCATGCACCCAGGAGGTCGAGCGGTACAACATCCTTCTGGTGAAGGCCCGCCACTCGTGCCGTGAGCTCATCAAGGGCATCAAGGGCCTGGTGGTCATGTCCGCCGACCTGGACCTCGTCTTCGACGCCCTCTTCAACGCGCGCGTGCCGGCGGCCTGGCTGAAGACGTACGCCTCCCTCAAGCCCCTGGGCTCGTGGACGAGGGACCTGCTGATGCGCGTCGAGCAGCTGGCCAGGTGGGTGGAGGACACCTACCCCAAGGTGTACTGGCTCTCCGGCTTCACCTACCCAACGGGCTTCCTAACGGCCGTCCTGCAGACGACCGCCAGGCGGAGCTCCATACCCATTGACACGCTGTCCTTCGAGTTCAGCATCGTGAACCTGACGGAGAAGGAGATTCTTCAAGCGCCCAAGGACGGAGTGTATGTCAAGGGGATGTTTCTGGAGGGGGCGGGGTGGGACGCGGAGAACGGGTGCTTGTGCGAGCCCCAGCCCATGGAGCTGGTGGTGCCCATGCCCATCGTGCTGTTCCGGCCGGCCGAGAACAAGAAGAAGTCGCAGAAGGGCGTGTACGTGTGCCCGCTGTACATGTATCCCATCCGCACGGGCAGCCGGGAGAGGCCCTCGTTCATGATCAACGTGGATCTGAAATCCGGGCTAGCGGATCCGGACCATTGGATCATGAGGGGCACTGCCCTGCTGCTGTCGCTGGCCACTTGAGGGGTGTTTTTGTGGATTTCATGGGGATTCTTTGGTAAGGCGGGTGTAGTGGGGCGAATATTTCTTGAGGTCAGGGCGGTGTACTTGCAAAACTAGTGTTTCAGCAGAGGGGCGAGATTCGGATCGGTGTACAGTGTACACTATCAGCATCTGGTCGTGTGGTGGGGGGATGTTCTTCAGTTTCTGAGCGGTTGTGCGACTGTGATTGGCGCGTTGTGCCGAAATTTAGATGTGGCATTGTTTCTTCAATGTCTTTTCCACATTGTGCCACACTGTGGCTTGCGCTCTTCTGCCTATGGAAGGCCAAATGTAATGTGGGCACCGCACTCGTCGCAGGACGTAAAGGCAACGGTATCATGATCAGACAAAGCACGACAGTAGTAGCGCCCGTTGCAATGTAAAAGACGGCCTCCCATAACAACAAACAGCACTGGCGACGGTCAACAAACACATAATTCAAAGTAATTGAAAGTATGGATGCGCCCGCAATGGCCAATGTATGTATTTCGTTGTATGCATACATCAATGTGTAGTATGCATGCGCCAATTCTCCTTTTCCTGAATGTTGGACCTAGGTTCGCTTCTGGGCTTTTCCCGTTTTGTCACTTCTCCATGAGCAGTAATGCTTGTCAGGGCCAGGGTGTCTTCTTGGTGGTTGGGACTGTCCACAGGCAGTACACAGACTTGCAATGGTGTTCTGCATGGCAATCCTGGCATCCTTCTCCGCAAGTGTCCAATGAGCCCAGTCCATTAGCGCATTTGCCCAATGCTTCGTTCCTCGCTTCACATATGTTATGCATACAACGACAAGTCAAGAGCACGTAGAAGGGCAACAACGCAAATGCATACATCAGCATTACTATTTTTGTTTGCTCCCAGTTGTTCCCTACGCAGAGGGGCATCTGACTAATTGCTGAAAGATTGTTGTCATGCCTGTCAAATTTAAACCGGTCAATTAGAAGACTGCAAGCGCAGCAAGAAGGCTGCTATATACTATCTCGAGTGGTATGAGCGACTCCTCAGTCATGTTTTTGGATGTTTGCAGCACCGGCACGTGTTGATTTCGCCATCCGTGGGGGCATTCGGCCCATTAAATGCATTTGAATTCCTAGATTTCACGCGCACATGAGCCTCATTCCAAGTTTGTCCACTTCCCATCACATTTCCATTTCACCCCACTTCATTACCACCTTCGCCCACGGAATCACTCAATTTCTGTTCCCTGTCCGCAATCGAATTTCGCCTTTGAAACAGTCAAATTAAAACTGGAGAGCGAAACCAGGTGTGAAATGCAATCTATTTCAGATGTAGGATAAGGGAACTTTTGCTGACCCGGGCGGCACATCACGGGCCGCGTTCCGTTGGATATCTTCAAGGCAGCTACTCAACCTCAAATCAGCGATGCACCTGCTTCCGGGCAGCCACAACACGATGGCAGGTCTTGTGGCGTGCATCCTGTGTTTCAAACGAAGATAGGGTGATCATGCAGACCAGGGACACGCACCAGACTTGGTACTGCAAAGGCTGAAGAACTGGGAAAGGTGCAAAAGCTTGCACGCCTAGATGAAGAAGCGCCCTTACTACGCTGTAGAAGATTTGAAGCGTTTCAGGCTGTTTTGATGTTGTTTTGAAGACGACCTGGGACTTGGTTCGTCATTTGCCTTCCTGCATTTAAGAAAATACTCATGCGTGCATGTCCACGCTTGGTTGCTTTGGCCCAGCGCATCGCACATTGTCGTAGACAATCGCCCGCAAGGCCACGTCATCGGCAAACCTACAGCGGCGCCTTGGCCGCGGAATTTGGAGGTGGGTGGTTGACTAAGACGATCGCGGGTTTCTCGGCAACGTGGGTGACTCTCAACGCGGGGGGGCCGCACCTTTATCATGCGAAAGTACTGCCATGGTGACCCTTGTTTCGGTAAGTTAGGAATGCTACTCATCAAGCCAACGAGGTAGCCGCTATCTCCCCATGGTAGCCAAGGGAAGCAGTATCTATTGCCGGTTCACTGAAATCAAAGGCATGGCACAAATAGGATCCGTATTCAACCAATTCAAATTCCTACGAGTCATTGTCGATAGTGAATTCACTGAGTGATGTGTTCTTACCAGTTGGCGAGGGGGAAATAAATGATTTTGAACTGTTGAGTCGAAAGGACTCGATCTCTCCGGGGGTCGGCGTACGCCCTTCGTAGGCACGGCGGCAATGGACACAATGTGTCACCTTCTGCAGCTGATGGATGCAATTGACGTAATCCGCTTCATGATTGCGAAGTATGCCTCTTATTCAAAATCGCCAATGAAATGCACGGTTTGGCCATAAAAAACGTGCACGTTTTGGATCTATTTCGAACAATTACACTACATTCCGTTTAATCTGGTGAAGTAATGGCCGCGAGCTGGGAACTGCGTCCTGCGAAACTGGGATCTGCACATCGCAGCACCTAGGAAGTTGAGAACACTGTGGACGGAGCGAACGGAGATGCAGGAGATTCACATAAGGATGGCCACGCACGCCACGGTTTCACAAAGGAGAGGGTCATGTTTGTGTGTAGCGGTATTGTTGTGACGGGTGGCTATGGGCATTCGTTGCGTGTTGGATGTGGTCGAAATTATGCGGCTCTCGTATACAATTATCTTATTTTCCTTTTTAAACACCAATTTTCCTATAATCTTGGAATTGTGTCACCTTTATTCCTAGACTTGTGGTTGGTCGGAATTGTACACGTCTCACGTACGACACTTTCCTCCACTCTGTAACCCTTGCTGTGGAGTCTTTGCAGTGTAATAGCTCTCTTCCCCAGCATTTTTGATCTTTTCCCATGCCTTTGTCTGGCGGATAATGTGCGCGACATGTGAGCGCTTTTCTTTTTCATTATTGTAGCCCTTGGTGTAAGATCTTAGAATTGTATTAGGTTCTCTAATCGCTAATTCTGTCTTTAGTGCCAGAACTGTGGTCGGTAAAATCTGCAGGTAATACGCGTCAATTTTCTTACACCCCTTTCCAAACCTTGCCCCATAATCTTCTTACAGTATCAGCTTCTTGCATCAACATGCCTTCCCTTCTCGCAAGCTGGCGCAACTCAGTACAATTTTGCTCCTCAACTTCGCACCCCTTGCCATAGAATCTTGGCATTGCATCACCTTCCGTACCCCTCACATTATCTTCATTGCCAGATCTGTAGCTGGCCGAGGTAGCACATGACCCACGTGCAATTTCTCTCCTCCTCCTTGCTCTCCTTGCTTTCCTTGCTCTCCTTGCTCTCCTTGCTCTCCTTGCTCTCCTTGCTCTCCTTGCTCTCCTTGCTCTCCTTGCTCTCCTTGCTCTCCTTGCTCTCCTTGCTCTCCTTGCTCTCCTTGCTCTCCTTGCTCC